CTCCCAACCAGCAGGGATAGCATTTCGGATAGAATCGGCTGAGCTTGCTTATAGTCAGAACAGTACATTTCTTCATTCCACCGTGGCATACACGACCAGACGGAGGTTCCCATACCAGACAGTATCCACCAGCCTCAACCTGGGAACAGTAGTCCTCCCAACAGTCCATCAACGTGACAGGGTCCGGATAGATACAAGTCGTATTACTTCCCGGATTGAATTGTGTATCATGACAGAAACCAGTTGGGCAAGCCATTACAACAGTCGTGTTAGCAGCAGTGGTAGGAGAGGCCGAAGCAGTAGTCACAGCACCATTAGTGACGTCAGAAGGAGTGGTCAGAGCAGCGGCAGTGGAGCCCCCAGCTGGAGCTTGTGTCGAGTTTGAAGCGTTACCAAATCCTGTGGTATCATCACCAAGCACCCCCCAGACCAGCATACCCAAGTATACAAAGAACGGCTTCATCGTGGAGCCAATAGTCAATTAACGCAAAAAGACGATTGAATTACTTGATGTCTAAAGCTAGCCTCGAGTTGTCTCTCCCACACAAGTCGTTGTGTTTTACTTATCGCAGGATATCTTTACTCGCTAGCGGAATAGTCGAAGGCTGTTCAGATAATTCGAAAGAGAATAATAACTTTCAATTCCTCCTTTTGGTCATCACTGGTTTATATGCTGATGCATCCAATTGATTTCGAATGATCCACAAGTATGTCTTGAATGGTATTGTTAAATCGAGTTCAACAATCCCTCGAATACTTCCCTGCCCTACCACACCACTTAGGCTACGTGCCTTCCGCTCATTTGACAACACCACAAATTGATTATCAATAATTGATATAAGTCGCGACTAGGGAAACATCACCACAGACTGATTATCAATAATTGATATAAGCCAAGACTAGAGAAACATCCACGATCAGGCCAGAAGCGTGAAAGCGCTTCCGCGAAGGCTTATGCAACTGAGGACGCAAAACGGTCAATCAGAGCTCGAAAGCACGATTTGTACAGCAGTTTTGTGTCGGTGGCCATACTTGAAATATGGACTCTGCCAACTATCATATAAAGGAAAGGACGCTTGTCCTAAGTTGAGTTGGTACATATAGATGACGTGCATCAGCACCCCACGAGAGGGGGGTGCACATAATAGCAACCTAGAGCTTGGTCTCATAACCACAGCGAACAGCAAACGTTGACAAACATTCAGAGGACTTGGGCAGCAAGGATAGAGCCAAACACAGCAAGTCCTCCATTGACTAGACCAGTTGCACTGCTTGTAACAGGAGTAGTAGTAGTTTGCC